CTTGGTAACCTCATTGTCTTTATCATTAACTATTGATGTGCTGGTAAACCACACACGCTCCATCAAAATGACAATTATGAGATACCCATTACTACTCTTTATTAGTGCCTTTTAGTGTGCTGGTTAACCACACACGCTCCACTAACGACCAATAAAGCATAATGTGCAATTTCATGGATTAGCATACTTTTCACATTTTTCCTAAAGTAACTAGAGTTGGGATTTTGTAAAATAATGTTCTAGTACTTTCTTTAATACATTATACTTTTAATGAGAAGTAGTTGTCCTATCAAATCCGTTCTGCTAACGACCCTCCACTAATCAAGGAAGCGGTGGGTGAGAGTGGACACCCATTCAACTACCATTTTATAGGCAGTTTCCTTATACCCCCCTTATAGACTAGCTTCGTGAATGAGGCATACTAGCGATTTGACTGACCATATTCTTATACATATTAATATTAAACATTTAATCATAATACATATATAAGGTGTGTTTAAAACTTTTTAAAACTTCAAGGGTTTTATATAAATTTCGAAATTTAAACTATTAAATTAAATTTAAAATAAACCAATTAACTAGATTTAATATTATCTATTAATTAACTTTTAATCAATTTATTAAATCTTGTAAGGATTATCTAATTAAATTAATCAATTAATTTAATCCTAATCCTTATCCCTCTAAATTTCGAAAATTAGGGTAAAGATAATTATCCAATTAATCCAATTAAGTAACAATTATCCAAAACAAGAAACCCTAAAACTTCTAGGCATATTTCGAAATTTACAAGGGAGGAGGCTAGGGTTTTCAAACCCTAACCCTAATTTCGATTAGGGTTCTTTGGAGGCTAGGGTTTTCGAAAACCCTTCAATCCAAAACCCTAATGCGAAAATTTGGCCTTTAGGTTTTAATGGCTATAAACCCCTAATTTGCAATTTAACTATTATAGCAATTCAATTTAAAACAAACAATGGCTCTGATACCACTGATGGGTTTTAGGTAAACAAATAAACTAGAAAAACAATTCCTAAGTTCACATGCACCTACTTTGGATCTATGTTTTAACTATTGAACATACAACTTTGAATTGCAAACAAGAACCCTAGAGGAGAGAGGCTAATTTCGAAATAACAAACTAGGGTTTCAGAGTTACATACCTTTCAATTGTTATAGCAAACAATTGATAATCCTCTTGGTCTTGATCTTGATCTTCTTGGAAGCTTAGCACCACAAATGCAATGCCTCTAATGGAATCACACCCAAGAACTAGCAAGAAGGAAACTTGGAGGAGAGAGGAGAGAGAGTATGTAATTTCGGCCTTAGGGTTTCTTCCAAAGAATCAGTGACTCAAATGTGAGCCAGGAGGCTCCTTAAATAGCTGAGGGATCTAGGGTTTAGGGAAAACCCTAGTTATCCTTTGCTTAGGGCCTAAGCAAAACCCAAGGGCCTTATCTGGACCCCTTGGACGAAATCTCTAGGGTTTCCCCTATGATTTTCGTCCACTCCTTCCAAGGGGGTTCTGGATCCTTCCACTCAACTATTAGTTAATTGCAAACTAGTCCCTGCACTTTATAATTAATTCTTTTAACCCCAAAATTAATTCTGATTAATTTCGGGCTAACTATTAATTAAACATAATGATTTCTAATTATATATTAATCTTTTAACATATTAATAAATCATTATATATATTAATTTATTAATCTTATAAATTAATATCTCTCCTTCATAATTTCCTTGTCCAGTTGCTAGGTTGAGGGCAACCCAAAAGGACTGTGCTGCTATCAATTCAAGTACATACCAATTATAGTTATGGGCTTAGACACCTAATCCAACATTAACGAGATCTTCAACTCTCGTTTATATTATTTTTCCTAACAATCAACCGATCTTAATTTCAGTTTCTGAGTCGCACACTGCTATACTGAAACTTTGAAAAGTTATAACTTCCTTATATGAAGTCAGACTTGGACGTTCTCTATATGCACGTTCTCGCATTTACAATTACTATGACTTTCGTTTAAATTATTTATCCTAAATAATCTTCTATCAAAAACATCTATTTATTATCGTGATGAATAATTATCATATTATCATATCGACATATAGGTATTAACGAGATCTTCAACTCTCGTTTAGATTATTTTTCCTAACAATCAACCGTTCTTAATTTCGGTTTCTGGGTCGCACATTGTTATACTGAAACTTTGAAAAGTTATAATTTCCTTATATGAAGTCAGATTTGGACGTTCTCTATATGCACGTTCTCGCGTGCCACCTTCTAGAAGCATTGCGTGCTACGAGATTTAATTATTTGCTAAAAATCGTATCTTTCTCAGATGCGCTCGGTTTTCAATGTTCTTTATATCCACGTGTAGCTATCGACGAGCAATAGAACTTTTATTTAGACTATGTCAGCTAATTCTCACTTTATTTTTAAAGTTATATTTTATAGGCTTAGACTGTCAAAGTTTGTATAAAAATCATAACTCTCAAATAATATCCGTTCTTGACTGTCATTATATCGACAGATAGTTTAACGAGATTCCAACTGTTAGATTTTTTTCCTAACAATCAACTGTTCTTAATTTCGGTTTTTGAGTCGTACACTGCTATACTAAAACTTTGAAAAATTATAATTTCCTTATATGAAGTCAGATTTGGACGTTCTCTATATGCACGTTCTCGCTTTTACGATTACTATGACTTTCGTTTAAATTATTTATCCTAAATAATCTTCTATCAAAAACATCTATTTATTGTCGTGAGGAATAATTAATTACCATATTATTCTTTAATCATCTAGCCCTATGTTGTGGGCGTTACATATAACTTGTACATGACACGTGTTTTATGATGGGTGTCCTTCGTGTTTTTTTTGTAACACTAATTTTAGGACACGCAAAAATGTATGTCCTAAATCCTTTAAATTTTGGGAGAGACGCCATTATTTTTACGATACACACTTTTGTGTATCATAAAACCAGTGTGTATCATTAAAGGCCTATATTCTAGTAATGTCATTAGTTTGCTCTTTTTATATGCCCCTCAGTCTTACATGTAAGGGTATTTTAGTCCTTTTACATATACGTCGGTTATAAACTGACTGTATATGGCACCATTGGGGTATAACGAAGTGTTGTATACCACATCCTGCTTCATTACAAATTTACAATTGATTTATTTATCAATGGACAATAATGGTGAGGGAACGTGTTAACATAGTTGTGATTGATATATAATGTCATTATAGTAATGCAACATGTTTCCATTCTACTTTCTTCTTCTCTATAAATGTATTGAGTTGTTAATTAACATTTTTTTTCTAGTACAGTCAGACATACAACAAATATATAAATATGGTTGTTCTTTGGAGCGGAGTTCACCAAGTTTTATTGGAGAATATACATCAAGGGTAAGGAGAATATGTTGACTTAGTTGACATTGATGAATTTTCATTCTACAACTTTTTGCTAGGGTATGTGGAGGATGGTAAGATTTTGTATTATCACTTCAAAAGCCCTGTGGTGATTTTGATGTTGGATCATTTTCATTGGCTAATAACTTATTATACATAAAACATTTTAGGTTATATGTATCCAAACATAAACTTATAGAATTTTATACATAACATACATATACCTACGTAATGTCCCCTACCCAAGGAAAATTTATAATAAAAGAATAATGGAACCCCATATTAGTCAAGGAGAATTTATTTGAAATAGTACGTATGACACAAATCTAGGGGACGGTGCTTAAACTCCCATGTGGCTGAACCTAGTGTTGAACCCCATATGTTTCAGAACCTATTAATAGAGCTCCCATCTACTGTGGAACCATAATATATATGTCTGAACCTGTAGTGGAACCCTTATATATTGAGTTTAAATATGGTAATGCCCTGAACCATATATAGATCATGATGAAGGCATTCTAATATTGGGTAATCGTGACATAGGCTTTAATGATGAGGTTAGTGATAGTAAGGAGAGTAATTTTATTCGGATCATCATCTATAGGCAAGTTAAACTATTTGTTTAACTTAAACATTAACAATGATATAGAGTGGGTTTCTGGTGCGCTTGATGTTACAAAATATGTTGGAATGCATTATAAGAACGTGGGGGGTGCTTAACAATCAAGTTTTTATATTCAGATCATCATCTATAGGCAAGTGAGTGCTCTGATTTATATATATTTGACTTTCAGCTCATTTGAGAAGGTGAAAGAAAGAATCTACTTGCATGCCGTTGAGACTAGAAGAGAATTATACATAGTCAAAATGATAAAAATAGGATCATGGCTGTTTGTAAAGGTATAATGTTAGGCATAATACAAGGAGATGCAAGGTTCAAAAGTGTCGGTGGGTCACAATACTTAACTATTTCAATGGAATGTGACTATTTTTGTGAGTGTTTTCTTGTGACTAATTTATTTGCATTGGCTAGTGTATTTTATTATTGTTATTGTCCAAAAATTGTAACTTTTCTAAAATGGTGAAACATAATTTGCATTGTCCAAAAGTTGCATTTTTAGCTTCTGTAACACTGTGCACAAATTGCATACCTTTTCCAAAATGGTCAAACATAAATACATTTGTGTAATTGTATTCTTGTTATTGTCTAAAACTGCAACATAAGTACACTGTGTTTGTGTTATTGTCCAACATTCCAACATAAATACCTATTCCGAGAATGTCAAACACAAATACCTATTCCAAAACAACAATTTCAATAATTTGCCAAAATGATGATACAAAAGTTACCTTTGAACTTAGGTAAAAAGTTCCAAAATTACTAAATTTACAATTTGTAAATAAGGACGCCCACAAATTGCAACTGTCCAAATAATAGAAGTTGTAAAATAGATTAATTATTGAAGATAATCCAAAAGTTATTCCACACTAGTACTTTATACTTAAGAATTCCTGACAACACCAGGGATACGTCAATGGATGACAACGATCTATCATAAAAAGATTTTCAACCAATATCCTTTTCAAATAGTCAAAAGACACAACACTCAGATTCGTAACATTTTATCTTTATAAAACTCCTATGTAAAAAGATAATTATAAAACTCATTGTTCTTTCGTACATAAAGCTACATAATATAAAATTAACTGGTTTAACTCTTGTTACAATTAACGTTATACATTTTCTATTTAGAAAAAGTGACTCATTTGTTGTAGCCATTTAGGGTTTTTCCTTGAGTTGTGCAATGGGAACAAAGATGGTGGAGCTATGCTCAATAGATGATGACTGTGCTGCTGTTGTTTTAGCTCTTCTGTTTGGTGTTCTTACAAGTAATATACTTTGTAGATTTTCCAACTTTGTTTTCAAATAACAAAGCTTCTGCATATGAGCTTCTGCTGACGTGGCTTCTTGATTATCACTTTGGGTCCCACCAATTACATCACAGTCAACCTTCAACACATATCAAACAAAAACTACTCAACTATAGCATTCTACTTTCTGTTTTTTAAGTTGCTATTTCTTGCAATTTTTCACATGTGTATAAAATTGTTTTTTTTTTTTTTTTTTGAAAATAGAAAAGTAAAATAATAATAATTGGTGTTTTGAAAAAAAAGAATACCATGTTGGTTGAAGTAGAAACAAGTAAATCTCCATTGTCATTATGCTTTGTAGCATTTGTGGGAATATTCTCTGATAAAATTTCATTAATAGCAGATTCTTTTTGAAATAGAAGGAGCATCATTTTGAGTTGGCTTATCTTCTGCCTGAATAAGTTATTAAATATAATCGATAAGATTTTGTTATTCAAAACAAAATAAAAAAATAAATATGTAAAAAGTAAAAACTCGCCTTCCTTTTTAATGACAGGTAACGCGCATTCTTGAACCATTTATTAACCTGAAAAAAGGCACGGAATTTATACAGCTATTTTCTTATAATGAGGATGAAAAGGACATTTATGTCTTTTACCTTCTCAAGGTCGAGACCTAACTGATTGGAAATCTCTTCTTTAACAGCTCGAGAGGGAAGTTCATTCTTTGCAAAAACAAGGCGAAGCTTCTGATATAATAATACAAAATTAATAAATTCCAACAAACAGTAAAAAGAAAAAGAAAAAAGAAAAACTACCTCTACAGCTTCAGATGGAATCCTAAAAAACGATCTTTTACTTTCTGGGTCATTCTTTGATATTTCAGCAACATCTTTTCCCATTTTGTCCTCAGTTTCACAAAGAGTCATTAGGGTACTTGCTGCATCCGACTCTTTCTCTCTCCTCTTTCTGTTTGTGGGACCCCAATCTTCATCTTCACTTACTTGTTCATTTGCAAGAGCATCTTTTCCAAACATTTCCTGTATCATGACATAAAATGAGGGCATTCAAGTCTTTTCCACAAATAAAAAGTGTCTTGGATTAAGAATGAACAATATACTCACATCATAAAGCTTTCTATAATCAACAGCTCGACGTTGTCTTCGACCACTCACGAGTTCAAAATCAGAACCGGA